CGCAGCCATAAAAAAGAACAAAATCATGAATTTCGCTGCAACCTGGATGGAACTAGAGTCTATAATACTGAGTGACCTCTCACAGAAACAAAAATCCGAATATCACATGTTCTCACTCATATAATGGACCTTGAACATCCAATGCAATACTATGAGAAAATGACGGATGGTACTGGGAAACTATGGGGGGGAGGGGGATGGGATTAACAGTAGCAAATATCTGTCGGGGGATGAGAAAACACTTCTTATCTACAGGGTGCCTGAATGAAACGTCATTGTACACCTAACCCTTAACTGTACCCCACAAAACCATAATAAAAAATACTGATTAATGAAAAAAAAAAAAATCACGCTTAGCCATATCATATTCAAACTACAGAAAAGCAGAGACAAACAAAAAATTTTGGAAGAAATCAGATTGGGGAAAATAATCTTATCTACAGAGGTAACAAGAATAGGAATGACCGCAGATTTCTCATTGGAAAGAAATGCAAAAAAGAAGAACGTAAAATGAAATATTTAAAGTGTTAGAAAAAAAAGACCCATACAGGACTTGTATTCAAAATATACAAAGAACTTTTAGGACTCACCAAAACTGGATTTTTAAAAAGTGGTACATATACACAAACGAATACTATGCAGCCATAAAGAAGGACTAACGTATGGACTTTGTAGCAACCTGGATGGATTTAGAGTCAATCATACTCAGTGATCTATCACAAAAACAAAGAACAGAGTACCACATGTTTTCACTCATAAGCAGACCCTGAACATTAACCGTAATACTATAAGAAAGAGATTGGCAGTAGTGGGATACTGCCAGGGTGGGAGGAGGGGTGACAAAATATCAGTAAGGGTACCTGATTTCAAATCAGGCAAAGTGGGGGCCAAAGGGAGATCCAAACTTTACCTGTATGATGTCCGCTTATATACCTAACCCTGAATTGTACCACTCATTTCAAAAATAAAATTAAAAAGCTAAAACTTAAAAAAAATAAAAAAATAAAAAAATAAAAAATAACCAGGTATTTTCATATATGAAAGGAACTCTCCAAAGTAATAAAGTGGCCAATCACCAAAAAGACTAATATTTGAAGTATCTATCAAGAAAATATCCTGATTTTCCCAAAAAACCCAAAAAATTCTTATAACCACATTCCTTTTTTTTCCAGCATTAGATGGTCAATTTCAAATTTCTGGACAGTTAAATAAGCCCTTATCATACAAAGATTTGAAAGTTAATAAAGACGTGATCATTTATTCTGACACCATGGTCAAAGTTTGAAACATATCGACTTGAAAATTACACAGATCACTACCTGTCATACTACATTCCTTGCTCCTCTCAACTCGCTCATCTCTGCTTGTATTTGCCAGTTCTTTTTTATTGTGTTTCTACTTATCCACCTTCATCTGATTCATTGTCCATTTATTTTTTTGTCTCTCTCTGTATATGCCTAGCTTTTCCTGAATATGTCCAGCATATTCCTGTACCTTCCACTACTAAGTAGAATGGCCTTCCCATTCTCTCTTTTGCTGTCTTTTCACTCTTCCTTCCTCTCCCTTCATCAGCCTAGGCTATGGTTTGAATGTTTATATTCCTCCAAAATTCACGTTGAAATTCTAACAAAAAAATAATAATAATAATAAAATATATTTCTACCTGGAAAAAAATGATGATATTAGGAGGTGAGGACTGTGGCAATTAGGTTTCAGGATTAAGTAACTGGGTGGACAGTTCTCGGACTAGTGCCCTTTTAAAAAAAAAAGTTCCTTTTCTGCCAAGTGAGGACATAGCAAGACCCTTTCCCCTTCTACCATGTGAGGACACAGCAAGAAGGTGTTGTCTATGAGCCAGAAAGCAGGCCCTCCCAGACACAGAATCTGCCTTCACCTTGGACTTCCCAGCCTCCAGAACTATTAGAAATAAATTTGTGTTTATAAGCTACCAAGTTTATGGTATTTTGTTATAACAGCCAAATCCGTAAGATATCAGAATTTAACTTATTTGATATGATTATATAATCAATGTTTTTAATCTCTGCTTTATCATTTTTAGACAGTAAGATGATTTCTATTTCTGACTTTTAAAAAATGCTTCTTGGCCAGGCTTGGTGGCTCAGCCTGAAATCCCAGCACTTTGGGAGGCCCCAGGGCTTGAGACCAGTCTAGGCAACTTGGCTAGACCTCATCTCTACAATAAATTTTTTAAAAATTAGCCAGGCGTGGTAGCACACACCTGTACTTGGAAGGCTGAGGCGGAAGGATTGACAGCACAGCAGGTAACACTAGGGTGGGGCTAAGTATGCCACTGAGCTCCAGCCTGGATGACAGAGTGAGACTCCAACTCAAAAAAAGAAAAAAGAAAAGTGCTTCTTGAATTTATTTGTGTTGTGTGACTCTTGAATTGATTTCCTTAGTAGGTCAGTACCATGACGAAGTACTGTTTACTTACCACAAAGTAACAATTTTTACTAAAGGTTTTGAATCAAAATGCCAGTTCTGGCCGGGCTCAGTGGCTCAGTTTGTAATTCCAGCACTTTGGGAGGCCGAGGTGAGTGGATTGCCTGAGCCCGCGGGTTTGAGACCAGCCTGGGCAACTTGGTGAGACCTCATCTCTACAATAAATCAAAAAATTAGCCGGGCATGGTAGCACACGCCTGTAGTTCCAGCTACTTGGAAGGCTGAGGTGGAAGGATCTCCGGAGCCCAGCAGGTCAAGGCTGCGGTGGCCAGGAGCAGCCATTGCACTCCAGTCTGGGCGATAGAGTGAGACTCCAACTCAAAAGAAAAAACAAGCCAAGCTCGGTGGCTCAGCCTGTAATCCCACGCTTTTAGGAGGCTGAGGTGAGTGGATTGCCTGAGTCCGCGGGTTCGAAACCCGCCTGGGCAGCAAGACCTCATCTCTACAATATATCAAAAAATCAGCCAGGCAGGTAGCGCGTGCCTGTAATTCCAGCTACTCAGAAGGCTGAGGCGGAAGGATCGCCGGAGCCTAGCAGGTGAGGCTGTGGTGGCCGGGAGCGGCCACTGCACTCCAGTCTGGGTAACCGAGTGAGACTCCAACTCAAAAAACAAAACAAAACAAAACAAAACAAAAAGCCAGTCCTTAGAACAGGATAAAATTAATCTTATGAAGTCTCTAAATTACTTAAAAATGGCATCAGAATTCTGGAACTCGTGGCTTATACACTCTTATTCTTTAAATTCAAATTTCTACCAGGCACAATGGCTCACCAACTGTAATCCCAGTACTAGGGAGGATCACTTGAGCCCAGAAGTTCGAGATTGGCCTGGGCAACATGGTGGAAACCAGACTCAAAAAAGTTAATTAATTTAAATGTTTTCAAATAGTTCTCTATTAAATGGTACAATATCTAATTTGATAATAGCTCATAAAAATGTTGTGAATTTAGTGAGTGCCTAAATTATGGCTTGGCTTTGATACTTCCATAGTTTTACCACTAATTCACAGAATTCTCACTATAGTGAGAATATAGTTACAAGATATAACTAATACCATTTTAGAAATGTATGAACTCTGTCAGGCTCGGTGGCTCAGCCTGCAATCCCACACTTTGGGAGGCTGAGGTGAGTGGATTGCCTGATTGCCTGAGCCCGAGGGTTTGAGACCCGCCCGGGCAACTTGGCGAGACCTCATCACTACAATAAATCAAAAAATTAGCCAGGCATGGTAGCGTGTGCCTGCAGTTCCAGCTACTTGGAAAGCTGAGGCAGAAGAATTGCCGGAGCCCAGCAGGTCAAGGCTGCGGTGGCCCGGAGCGTGCCACTACACTCCAGTATGAGCGACAGAGTGTGATTTCAACTCAAAAAAAAAAGAAAAGAAAAGAAATGTATGAGCCGGGCTCCGTGGCTCAGCCTGTAATCCCGCGCCTTTGGGAGGCTGAGGTGAGTGGACTGCCTGAGCCCGCGGGTTCAAGACCCACCTGGGCAACTTGGCGAGACCTCATCACTACAATAAATAAAAAATGAGCCGGGTGTGGTAGCACGCACCTGTAGTTCCAGCTACTTGGAAGGCTAAGGCGGAAGGATCACCAGAGCCCAGTGAGACTCCAACTCAAAAAAAAAAAAAAGTATGAACTCTATAAGTAGGTCTAAAGACAAAAAAAAGAAGCAGAGGCAATTAGACCATTCTAATCAGATGGTCAATACTACAGTAGGTATAAGAAATTTGAACTCTTGGTTCATAGAATATAACCATTTAACTTCTATGCTTCCACCACTGTAAATCTGTGTTTTAATAATTTTTTGTTTCATTCTTTATAATACTAACTTAATTCTCCATGAATATAAATGTAAGAAATAATTTCTATTCTAATTAAAGTACATTTCTTTTCTTGTCAGTTCTACCAGACAATGTTCTGCATTAAAAAAACTCAAAATACTTTTCTCGACATAAGTAAGGAGAAAATAAGATACTAGATTCCAAGGGCATTTTATGCTATAGAGTAAAAAAAGATAAGCCTTTTCTATAAACTAGGCATGAAAGGAAAGAAGGAAAAGTTAACCTGAAAAGTAAAAAAGGGAGGTGGGATTAACAGTAGTCAATATCTGTCTGGGGAAAGTGGAGCATACCTCATCAACAAGGGTACCTGCACAATGAATATTTGTATACCTAACCCCTAACTATACCCCACAATTTTAAAATAAAAATTTATATAACTTTTTAAAAAGTCAAAAAATCCCATAATCAAATTCAAAACAGTTATTTTTTACTGGATAGATAGTAGCTGTTTTAAGGTACCTATAATTTCTCAAACAATAAAGCTCAAGTGTTGTTATTCTCCATAATATTAGAGAGTTTAACATATGACATACCCCAGGACAGTAAGTCACTGTGAACCAGTCTCAAGAAGGGACTTACACTGAATAATTTCCCTTTTAACCAATATTCTAAGTTGTCAGCCCTTAGTAAGGCAGTATGGCAGACTAATGATTAAGAGACAGGCATTCTTAAAATGAAGTAAACATGTAAGGTACTAGCCTGTCATATGCAGCAATCATAAAGTTGAGGAGGAGGCTGATAGACTGTTCCACACTGATTTGGTGAGTAGAAGGAAGGCGCTTGTTCAACTGATAGTAGATGGATGAGATGACAGTTTCGAGGCGGGACACACTGATCTCTGTGGTATGGTCCAGTGTATTAAGGCCATTGTCTCGGAAGGCTTCAATCATGTTCCAGATATCAACAAGATGAACTAAAAGAAAAGGAAAATTAACTGTCAACAACTTTAAAGTGTGGTACTACCTTCACAACTGAACACTTAAATTTATCAACTATGACCTGTCTGGGCAAGCGAGACCTCATCTCTACAATAAATCAAAAAATCAGCTGGGTGTGGTAGCGCATGCCTGTAATTCCGGCTACTCGGAAGGCTGAGGCGGAAGGATCCCCAGAGCCAAGCAGGTTGAGGCTGCGGTGGCCGGGAGTGACCACTGCACTCCAGTCTGGGCGACAGAGTGAGATTCCAACTCAAAAAAAAAAATTTATCAACTAGATTTAAGTTTAAAGCAAAGGGACTCTTTTTTTTTTAATTTTTAAATTTTATTTTAAAGATGTGGGGTACAATTCAGGATTAGGTATACAAGTGGTCATCATACAGATAAAGTTTGGACCTCCCTTGGGAACCCACTTTGCCTGGTTTGAGATCAGGTACCCTTATTAGTGTTCTGTCCCTCCCCACCCCCACCCTGGCAGTATCCTGCTACTGCTAATCCCTTTCTTATAAATGTTCAGGATCTGCTTAAAGAACAGACATGTGGTCTGTTCTTTATTCCTGTGATAAATCACTGAGTATGAGACTTTAAATCCATCCAAGTTGCTGTGAAGTCCATATGTTTGTCCTTCTTTATGGCTGCGTAATAATCCACTGTGTACATGACCACATTTTTTTTAATCCAGTCCAGTTTTGATGGGCAGCATAGGTGCTTCCATGTTTTTGCTATCGTGAATAGTGCTGCAATAAACATGCATGGGCAGGTATCTTTTTTGTATAATGATTTGAGTTTCTCCGGGTATATTTAAAGCAAAGGAACTCTTTAGCCAACAGTAAGAAAACACCCTGTGGCAGAATAAAGAACATCAGTCAGTCTCAGACAATATCAAGGAGTCACCACAGCAGTCAGGGAAGGACTACCTACAGACTTCACATTTAAGTAACTAGTATTTCAGGTCTCTGTAAATAGTGAACCAGCAGTTCCTAACAATAGGTAAACTGAGAAAAAAGATCAAGAACTCCCCAGAAGAACTTGTATTACTTTAGCCTAGCAACTTCAGCAACATTTTACAACTCAAACTTTATCTCTATGGCCCTACCTGCACTTAGTAATACGCTACTCATAACTCTGAAAAACTTAAGCCAAAAATAAATTTATCTACTATCTATTTCTTCCATTTTTTTGTTTGTTTGTTTGTTTTTTGAGTTGGAGTCTCACTCTGTCGACCAGACTGGAGTGCAGTGGCCGCTCCTGGCCACCGCAGCCTCGACCTGCTGGGCTCCGGTGATCCCTCCACCTCAGACTTCCAAGTAGCTGGAACTACAGGTGCGCCCTACCACACCCGGCTAGTTTTTGATTTATTGTAGAGATGAGGTCTCACCAAGTTGCCCAGGCAGGTCTCGAACTCAGACAATCCACTCACCTCAGCCTCCCAAAGGCACAGGATTACAGGCTGAGCCACCGAGCCCGGCACATAAAATTTTTAAAAAAAGAATTTTTTTAAATTAAAAATAAGAGAATGCCAACTTCCAATCTTAAAAATAAGAGCATGCCAACTTCCAACCAGAAGGATGATGTAACATTATTTATGACAACAAAATGTGGGCTTGGAAAACGTGATCAACTCAATAGACACAGAAATAGCATTTGGCAAAACCCAACATCCATTATCCCTTTTCGCCTAATCTCGCCCTGAGTGACTATTTTGTTTCCCCAGATAAAAAAGGCCTCAAAGGGAAACGTTTTGCCAAAGAGGTGAAAGGGAAAACAGCTAAGCACCGAAGTCATCAAAATTGATCAAAACTGTTTTGAGCAATGGAAAAGCCTCTCCATAGGTGTACTGTATCAAACGGAGAGTACTTTGAAGGTGACTGAAGCTTAAAACATGTAAGAATAAATACACAATTTTTATAAATAAATTCCAGCTTTTGGGGGGGTCCCCTCTCATACATCGTTTTAATGCTGGAACAAAACATTGCTAAAGATAAAGAGGTTATCTGCATAATGATAAAAGTTTTAATTCATAAAAATGATATGGCCAGGCTCAGTGGCTCAGCCTGTAATCACAGCACTTTGGGAGGCCAAGGTGAATGGACTGCCTGAGCCCGCGGGGTCGAGACCTGCCTGGGCAACTTGGCAAGACCTCATCTCTACAATAATTCAAAAATTAGCCAGGCGTGGTAGTGCGCGCCTGTAGTTCCAGCTACTCGGAAGGCTGAGGCAGAAGGATCGCCGGCACCCAGCAGGAAAGGCTGCGGTGGCCGGGAGCGGCCACTGCACTCCAGTCTGGGCGACAGAGTGAGACTCCAACTCAAAAAAAAAAAAAAAAAAATGATATACTTTCTACATTTACTTACATCTAATAGAATAACCTCAAAACATATAAAACAAAAATAAACACAACTTCAAAGAAAGACAAATTCACAAGCTTAGTGAGAGATATCAATCCATCTCTCTTAGTGACAGCGCAAACACAAAAAATAAGCATGTATACAAATGATTAAACTTCACGACTAATAAGGTAGGCATAATGAGCACTATATGGAAAACAGCCTCCAATGACTACAGAATATGCTTTTTAAAAAAATTCACAAAAAATATGTATAAAATTTCACCACATCCTGAGTCAAATCTCAACAAAGGATCAAAATCATATAAAGCATGCTCTCTGATCAAAATGAAATTAAGTTAGAAATCATTATAAAAAAGGCAATTTTAGCTGGTCGCAGTGGCTCACACTTATAATCCCAGCACTTTGGGAGGCCAAGGTAAAAGGATTGCTTATGTCCAAGGGTTCAAGACCAGCCTGGGCAACTTGGCAAGACTGCATCTCTACAGTAAATCAAAACTTAGCCAGGTGTGGTGGTGCATGCCTGTAATTCCAGCTACTTGAAAGGCTGAGGCAGAAGGATTGCCTGAGCCCAGCAGGTCGAGGCTGTGGTGGCCGTGAGTGTGCCTCTGCACTCCAGCCTGGATAACAGAGAAAGATTCAAACTCCAAAAAAAAAAAGCAATTTTTAAAAGAAACATTATCTTTAGAAATGAAGAAACACATTATCAGGAAACTTTCTCCAACTGATTAAGATTGTTATGCTTTCAAAATTTGTCCCCTCCAAAACTCATGTTGAAATTTAATTCCCAAAGTGGCAGTATTAAGAGGTGATCTTTAAGAGATGATTGAGCCACAAGGGCAAACCATTCATGGATTAACGGACTAATGAATTAATGGGTTATCATGGGACAAGGTCTCATAGCTATACCAAAAGAAAAAAGAAAACCTGAGCTGGCACACTAAGTCCCCATGCCACATGATGCCCTGCATTGCCTCAGGGTTCTGCAGAGTCCCCACCAGCAAGAAGACTCTCGCCAGAAGCAGCCCTTCAAACTCAGACTTCCCAGCCTCCATAACTGTAAGAAATTCCTTTCCTAGCCGGGCTCGGTGGCTCAGCCTGTAATCCCGCGCCTTTGGGAGGCTGAGGTGAGTGGATTGCCTGAGCCCGCAGGTTTGAGACCCGTCTGGGCAGTGAGACCTCATCTTTACAATAAATCAAAAAATCAGCTGGGCGTGGTAGCGCATGCCTGTAATTCCGGCTACTCTGATGGCTGAGGCAGAAGGATCGCCAGAGCCCGGCAGGTCGAGGCTGCGGTGGCCGGGAGCAGCCACTGTACTCCAGTCTGGGCGACCGAGTGAGACTCCAACTCAAAAAAAAAAAAAAAAAAAAAAAGAAATTCCTTTCCTTATAAATTACCCTGTGATGCCGGGTAGCCTGCAATCCTGCGCCTTTGGGAGGCTGAGGTGAGTGGATTACCTGGGACCGCGGGTACGAGACCCGCCTGGGCAACTTGGTGCTCATCTCTACAATAAATCAAAAATTAGCCGGGCATGGTAGCGCGCGCCTGTAGTTCCAGCTACTTGGAAGGCTGAGGCGGAAGGACTGCTGGAGCCCAGTAGGTCAAGGCTCCAGTCTGGGTGGCAGAGTGATACTCCAACTCAAAAAAAAAAAAAAAAAAAAAAATTACCCTATTACAAGCAACAGAAAACAGACTACACCAAGGTGACCTACAAAGAACCTGCAACAAACATTCTACTTAGCAGTAAAATGTTGAAAGCCTTATTTCTGGGAATGAAATAAAGAATGCTCACTATTAACGTTTCCATTGTACTTGAGGCCAAACTAAGATAAATGCGCAGGATAAAGTAATAATCAGTAGAAGTCTTGGGAATGAGTAAATATAACTCATTATTCAGAAATTTGAACAAAACAATGTACATAGAAAATCACAAATATTCTACAGATAAATTATAAAATTAATATGAATTAAATCAATAATTTAATAAGATTAATATAAATCTAGAACAATTGCTGGAAACAAAGTCAAGATACAAAAATGACCATATTTCTATACACGAGTAGCACACAATGAAATTTTAAATTAATAGTATCATAAGTCATCAAAGACCTAGAAATAAATCCAGTGAAGGATATGCAACATCCCTATAACTGGCAGAGAATAAAGGCCTAAATAAGTACAGGGATGGATATACCCTGTTCACAGAAGGAAATCTCCTGTGAAATACTGAAAATATGTCAATTCTCTCCAATTTGATTTATAGATTCAACATAATTCAAATCAAAATCCCAGCAGTGCTGTACATTAAAATGATTATTTTACTATATGCAAATCATACTTGAAAAAAGAAATGAAGAAAAAAAATCCCAGCAGAGTTCTTTATTTGTTTTTAGTAGAAATTGAGAAGTAGATTCTAAAATTTATGTAAAAATAATTGTATAAAGGCCAAGAATGTCCAAAAGAATCTTAAAAAAAAAAAAAACAGCACAAAGTAGGAAGATTTGCTCTTCCTGATATCAAGATTTATTAAGCTATAATATAATAGTGGTTATTGGTAAAAGAAACAGTGTCTTAGAACAGAGTAGTATTGGTACAATGATAGAAAACAGACCAACATAACACAAAACAGTCAAAAAACAGATCTTCTCAGATGTGAACATTCCTGTAAATTTCTTCTCCTAATGAATATAAGATTTTTTTTTTTTTTTTTTTTTTTT